TGCATCCCAGGTGCTAACTAGGGGTCTTATGTGTGCAGGCTCGTGAGGCTGTGGAGATGCGTGCCCAAGTGGAGAGGAAAATGGCTCAGAAGGAAAAAGAGAAACATGAGGAAAAGCTCCGAGAAATGGCCCAGAAAGCAAGAGAGAGAAGAGCAGGGATCAAAACCCACGTTGAAAAAGGTACATATCTTTGTTACTTAGGTTTGCAGAAATAACCTGAGAAATTAGAATACCCAAATGTTAACTATAAATGTAACATCTGGATTTTACATCTTTTCTTGAACAACCAATGTGTTTGCTTAATTTGTGGGGATCTGAATTTCAACCTGAGGTTTAAGGAGATTGTTGAGAAATTGATCACTATAACTGGATCAGTACAAAGTAATGGCTTTCATGGACTGTTCTAATCTGATTTCTTTTTCAGGAAAGGCTTGTTTTGACTTTGTCTATGAGAACTAAATGATCTTTAAGTTTTCAAAGATGGTAAATGCAGTATTCTGTCTCTGTTGTTATAATTGGTCTTAAAGAGAGGTAGCTTTGGCTATCAGGCTCAGAATCTAATACCCTAACTAAATCATACCATTGTGGTGTCTTACGTCTTGATTGAAATGACATTTCAGAGATCAAGGTGCTGAACTTACAAAGCAGTTCTCTTAATGTCACTTAAAGGTGGAGAATATGATCATATACTGCAGCTGGGATGGACTAATCTGTTTCCAACAGTACAGGCTGAGAACTAGCAGGCTGCAGAGCAGATCTGTTGAGAAGCACCTGGGAGTTCTAGCAGACAAAATGCTGAAGAAAAGCTAGCAGCATGCCCTGGCAGCAGTATTCCTAGGGGCATACTAAGCTGCATCAGCAGGAGTGCAGCCAAAAGGACAAAGGAAATAGTTTTTTTCCTTTGCTGGTCATGTGCTAGACTACATCTGGTATAGTGTTCACTTAAGAGACTCTCAGTTCAAGACAGGCATTGATGAGCAAGAATGACTTCAGTGGAGGGTCACCAAAATGACCAGGTGGCCAGAGCATCTGTGTGGTGAGATGCTGAGAGAATGAAGCATGTTCTGCCTGCAGAAGGGAGAGCTTGGTGTTAACCTAATGTCAGGCTTCCTATGGAGAGATCAACAGCTGCACCGTGGAAAAATGAGATGGTGGTTAAAATTTCAAGTGGGTGCTTCCAACAGTGTAGGAGGAGAAAAAAAATTTCATCAGGAGGACAAAAAACAGTGGAACAGGTTGTCCAGAGAGGTTGAATGTCTGTCCAGGAGGGTTTCCTAACATGAAGGGGAAAGTTCAGAGCAACATGGTTTGATTTCAGCATTCATCTTGCTTGGAGCAGGAGATTAAAGTAGACATTGTATTCCAGCCCAAGAGATTTGGTGATACTGAGTAACAGAATGTTCTTCAAATGCCTGTGTTGGAATGGCATTTTTATACTAATGTGTAACAGAGAAAAGGGTATGATACAATCATCAGCAGGTATTTAGAGTATTAATTTGTAGATGGACAAAAATTCTGAGCTCTTTAAAGTTCAGAAGACATAGGTGTTGTGTATGTCTTGCTGTAGGTCTCTTATCAAGGATGTTTAATTGAGCAAGTTACTGTTCTCCTTAATATCCAGTTTGTTTAAAAAGTAACATACGTTGCTAAGGATCACTTCTCTTCCGGAAATGAATATTGAATTGAATCACTGTGCCAATGTCTGTGCTGTAGTTAATTCAGACTTCAGTAGCTGTCTGTAATAAGCAATCTTGCATGTGTTCAGAGGATGGAGAAGCTAGAGAAAGAGATGAAATAAGACATGACCGGCGCAAAGAGAGACAGCACGACAGAAATCTCTCCAGGGCAGCTCCTGATAAAAGGTGAGTCACAAACAAAGAAGCTGCTTTATTACTGTTCTAATACAGGATTCCCCACTATAGAAGCTATTGCGTACAACTTTCTCCATTTTCTTGACATCGGTGCCTAAATTTTACCTTATCGAGATGCTCGCTGATATGAAATGGTATAACTGAGGTAGAGTATGGTAGTGTTCCTGTGATAAAGGCTTAAAGCTCTGTTAACTTTGCTGGCTATGTGCAGGAAGTAGTTGGATTGCAACCCTAATACTTAATGAATGTATAAGTATTCTAAGTTGAAAGGAAGTGTGGAGCTAGCCTGTGGTAAATTTTAGTCATTAATGTAGCACTTGTTTGTAGAATCCATGTCTTTGGCAAGTTAAGCGTAGACTATCTGCAGTCAAACATATCTGAAAAAATCAAAATTTCTTAAATTGGACAAGAGAAGATTTTTGCTATTTATTGTTGGTTTTGTTGTTTTGGGTGGGGGTTTTTGTGTCTTTTTAGGGGGAGGAGAGGGTTGGTTGGTTGGCAGATCTTCAGCATATTCAGACTTTATTACCATGTTCACAGCAAAGAGATTGTTACCTGTGTCTTCAGCGAGACTGAAATATAATCAGTAGATTTTTCTTGAAACTGTACATTTAAAATGTGTTTAGATTCATGAATGTAAGCTGAAGTAACTTGTTTGCCCAAGCTAGTGAGATTTCTTGAGAACAAATGGTTTCTGGAGGCTTAAAGTCTCTAATATCTTAAAATTAGATTGCCCAGCCTTTCAAGAATATAATTATACTACTTTGTGCAAAAAAAATATGACATTTTGGACCAAATCAGCTTGATATAAATTGCAGATAGTGGAAAGTAAATTTAAATGTCATGCTTAGCCTGAACATAAGTTTTCCAAATGTTTCCTTTGCCAGGAGACAAATTTTAAATGTTACCTAGTGAGAAACAGTACCGGTTAAAATCTGGTATCTGGGGCAAATAGTTAGCAGCTAATAGAGAATCGGGTCGCAATTGAGCATATTTAAAAAAGAAAAAAGGTTTATCTGACTTAATAAAACTCAGAATTTTCATTTTCATTTCAGGTCAAAGCTGCAGAGAAATGAAAACAGAGATATCAGCGAAGTTATTGCACTAGGTGTACCCAACCCCAGGCCATCTAATGAAGTCCAGTATGACCAGAGGCTGTTTAACCAGAGCAAGGTAAAAATACCTTGTCACAGTTGTGTAGTTTTCTGTGAGAACAAGCAAACACGTTCCAGTGGGCACAGCTAGAGTCCAAAGGGGACCTTGTTTTAATGGATGGTATGGATGAGCTCTGAGAAATCTCTACTTAATGGGTAACAAACTGCTAATCTCCCTAATCTGTAGCTGATGCAACAGTCATTAGGATATTCAGAATGTGTAACTGTTTTAAAGTGGACTGGGTCTGTGGGGAGAAAAGTAGGAGAGAAAAAAGTTATTTTGCCTTCAAGTTGCAGTAGCTTCACTTTCTTTTGTGTAAATGTACTGATTGAATAAGGAAAACTTGCTCTGAAAGAGCAGCAAATACTTGCCATTCTCATTACTGTTTATATTATAAAACCTTCTGAATATACAGTTAACAGGAACATTTGTTCCTGAAGTTCTTACTATTAAAAGATTAAAAAGAGAGATTAGGCTTTTAGAAGTCCCGCAATAGTCCTGCAGTGTATCAGTCATTTTTTTTCTGTGCCTGTAACAAAAGACATGTAGGCAGAAGGAAAAGCTGATGAATCAAAATTGAGCAAACAGGAATCTCTCCTACTTCCATGGCTTACATAAACTTGCGTGCGATTTAGATGAGTCAGCTTAAATCACATTTGCCCGAAATCCCGATTAATATGCATTTCTGTGTGGTTGCACTTGGCTATTATAGCCAGCTGTACTTGCAGGGCAGACTGAGACAATAGATTATTCTCAAATATGAATGGCCTGCAGTCCTTCCTGCTGCTTTCTGGCAGCGTAGAAGTGGTCCTGACTGAAGACTGTAAACATGGTGTTATGTTGTCTGGACTTAATCTTAGACCCAAAACTACTCATAGCATATGAAGAGCTTGAACTTGATAGAAATAGTAGTAAATCATATCATAGCATGTTTTTATATCTGCATAACAGCAAGCCTGTATCTTGATGTTGAAATAAATTAGCTGAAGTTTGGCACTCATTTGCATTATACAGCTTCTTTACCCCTTTCTCCTTCACAGGGTATGGACAGTGGCTTTGCTGGAGGAGAGGATGAAATTTATAATGTTTATGACCAGCCCTGGAGAAGTGGCAAAGATATGGCTCAAAACATCTACAGACCAAGTAAAAATGTTGATAAGGATATATATGGTGATGATCTAGAGGCTCGAATTAAGACCAATAGGTAAGAAAATAAAAACAGAATATTCTTAATTAGTGTTCTGAAGTCCCAAACACTTGAGTATAATATCTTCTCCCACAGGTTTGTTCCAGACAAAGAATTTTCTAACTCTGATCGTAACACCAGAGGAAGAGGCAGAGACGGACCAGTTCAATTTGAGGAGGATCCTTTTGGTTTGGATAAGTTTCTGGAAGAAGCTAAGCAACATGGTGGTTCTAAACGGCCATCTGATAGCAGCCGCCCTAAAGAACATGAGCATGAGAGCAAAAAGAGGAGGAAGGAGTGAGTACCTCTGTACCTTGAGTAGCGAAGAAATGGACTACAAGCTTGGACTTCATAAAAAAAGGTGTTTTTAATATCACAGAGGTGTATAGGGTGATGCCATGTAAAGAAGCAGTTCAGAACTCTTGTGCTGTGTGGAGATGTATATACACACACTAGTTCCTCTACCAAGGACAGTTTCCTGTGAAGAGTGGAAGAATGGAGACTGCTTGGAAATATTTCACAGGGGAACTGTTCTATAGCAAGTTCTCTGAGTTTGCTAATTCCCTGTTGCCCAGCATCTCAGGGTAAGAATGTAGCCCCTTCCCCACCACCATGGTTTTATTACATAGCTGAAGCTTTTATTTCATTTGTTACAAGCTCTCCCACTGTAAATAATTACTGTATCATGCTGTAATAGATGCTAGAGAGCTTATACCTGTGTTTCTTGTTGTTCCATAGTTTATTTGAACAAGGAAGGGAAGCAGCTGATTCTGTTTTAAATCCAATACTCACAGTTTCTCCATAATCTTTATTTCAGTTTCTTTACATTTAGTGAAATAAAGCCTCTTTCCACAATTCATTCATGTTGATTCTCTCTTTGGTTGAAGGTATCTTCTACCTTGCTGTTGTCTGAGAAATAGCTGAAAACAATGGAAATCATTCATGTTAGGCAAGAAATTTCAACTTCTTTTTATTTCTGATTTTTCTGAAACATTTGTATGGAAGGTAGACATTGATGTGTGAGAGCTATAGTGACAGCTGCTGAGTCCTGGAAGGAATGTTAAATAAAATTTACTGGCAAGACTAGCTGTGGTCATGCAAAACACATCTTCGAAGTTTGGAATTTCAGGCAGAATTAACAGAAGTGCTCATATGCTGCTTTTAGAGAGGCTTGTCTTTTTATTTAAAACAAACAAACAAACTGCCTTCTCTTCCACTAAAAAGAAGCATTTTAGCTCTTGTACCTCCTGTTAACAGTCCTTAGCTTCACTGGTAGGTAAGTAAATATGGATATCTTGCAATTTCAAGAGTAAAATGCAGCACATTTTCCAAGAAATTGAGAATCTCATGCTAAAGACTCACCTGTGGTAGTCACAGTACTTATTTTGGTAATTGCCTACAGATAACATCCTATGCTATTTTCAACTCAGTTTACCCAGTATTAGCCTACTGCCTGGCTTATTGCATCTTAAGAGTGAATTCAGTAAACTACTACTTAAGTTTTGCTTTTCTTCTGCACTACTGTTAACTCACAGGCCAGCTGTAAGACACCATGAAGTAACCACAATGAACAAAGGCTTTTGTACTACGAACCATTCTAAACAAAATGCTGTACCATAATCAACATATTGCAATACCCCCTGAGTCTCTTACAAATTGGTTGTACTCTTAACATTGCTTGTCAGAACAATATGGCCAAATTCATACTGAGTATTTAAAGTTATTAACTGATAATGTCTGCTCCAGTAGCCTGCTTGTTGCTCTTTAGCTAGATCAGCTGAAGTGCATGCAAGTCTACAATAAAATCCCCTTAGTCATTCACCTTATTTAGAGACTGTACCAAAAGCAAGCTTCCAGCTGTCACTGCACTGTCACTTGTTTTTACTGGTTTAAAAGCTTAGCTTTTATTCTGCCACATTCCACCCTCGCCCTAGAATGTAAATTTTATCTTGGACTCTGCTTGCAGAAAGCTTTACAGATAGGTAAAGGGTTGTACAGCAGTTCCTGAAGACTTGTACCACATCTGTGTTCCTTTAGTTTAGCATAATGGAAGATCTTTATGTCTGGACGTGGTTTCTCTTGTGAGGCCCCATCTGGAATAATGCATCCAAGTATGGAGCCCCCAGTACAAAAAAGACAGGGAGCTGTTGGAGAGGAGACCCACAAAGATGATCAGGGGACTGGAGTACCTCTCCTATGAAGACAGGTGAGGGAGCTGGGCTTGTTCAGCCTGGAGAAAAGGCTGCGGGGCGACCTCATTGCAGCCTTTCAATACCTAAAGGGAGCCTACAGAGGGGAGGGGAATCATCTACCCTTTCAAAGAGTTAACAGCAGGATGAGGGGAAGTGGTTTTAAGTTGAGGGAGGGGAGATTTAGGTTGGATGTCAGGGGGAAATTCTTTACAGAGAGACTGGAGAGGTGCTGGAACAGGCTGCTCAGAGAGGTTGTGGATGCCCCGTCCCTAGAAGTGTTCAAGGCCAGATTGGATGGGGCTCTGGGCAGCCTGGTCTAGCATTAGGTGGGAAGGTTGGTGGCCCTGCCTGTGGCAGGGGGTTGGAGATTCATGATCCTTGAGGTCCCTTCCAACCCTGGCCATTCTGCGATTCCCTCTATGAGTCTATTACAGGTGCACAACTCTAAGTAGTCGAGAATGGTGGAATAAATAACTATAAATAATTTTAGAAGCACACTAAAAGTATACTGAAGTGGCAAAATGCCATTGAGTAAGTATGGCATTAATTAGATGTTACAGCATCCAACAGGAAGCGGAACTGAAGACCCAACTCTGTATGCTACTGTACTAAAGGAGTTAAACCGGTACCTTGGCGCCTTCCAGTATGTGGGAGTCCTTCTGGAGCACATTCTGAACCTCTTCTGGAGATGAGAATTTAATCCAGCAGTAACGTTTGTGAAAGCCTGTGTCTTTGTCCTAGTTATAGATGAAGGGAAGGAGCTGGTTACTGTAGGAAGTTTATACATGTGCTGTTAAACTTTCTATCCACGTCCAATTTAAGGATTCAGAAATAATCAGAGAAATCGGTACAACTGTTTCAGAAGTCTGCTTCACGCTTTAAAACACGTATTTCCATCGGCAGCTGGGAGGGGCCGTGAGCTATCAGCGTGGAATACAGCAGGGCTGGTAGTCTCAAATTGTCCTCAACCTGCAGGCCCACCAGACTCCAGCAGGGATGGAATTTTTTCTTTATAGCGCCCGCTATGACGCTACGTTTGGGGTCCATAAGAACAACGCTGATCCCTTAACGCCTGCCGCGTTAAGCCACAACAACCCGGCTTTCAAAGCCCACGGCAGACGTTAACCTTGAGAGGCCGGGGTGCTGAGCAGGGCAGAGCCCGCGGGCCGGGCGCAGCAGGGGGGGCGACGGCGGATACTTACGAAGGGCAGCTGGCACCTCTGCACCGACCCGAACTGGGAGAAGTACTCCTTCAGCTCCTCTGCGGGAGAAACGGACGCGCGGTTACGCGGCCCCGCGCCGTAGGGGACGGAGCCGCGGCAGCCCCGGGTGCTGGGAGGGGGCGGGGGGGAGGGAGCGAGGGGGCGCGCACTCACTGCTCGAAACCGTCCAGGGAACCTCGGCCACGAAGATGTCGAAGATCCGCCGGGAGCTCCGCGCCGCGCCACGCGCCGCCGCCATCTCGTGAGCCGCGGCGTTCCCACGCCCCGCCCCGCCCCGCCCGCGCGCGCCGTCCGACCGCGGCGGCGCAGCCAAAATGGCGGCGGGGGCGGCCGCGGCGGCGCTGGGCCGGGAGGGCGGGGAGGACGCCTTCCGCCGGCTCTTTCGCTTCTATCGGCGGCGCGACGCGGCGGACCTGCGGGGGGTGGTGGACTTCTCCGCGCCGGGGGGGCAGGTAACGGCGCGCCTTCGCCGCCCTCGTTGTGCGGGGCCGGGGGCCGCCGGGTGGCACGGCGGGGCCGCGCCGGCCTGCCTCCGCCCGCGGGACGATCCGGGCCCCGTCCCTGAGCCTCGTCGCGGCGTCGAAGGGCCTTACGGGGCCGGCGGTGGGCGCCTTACGAAGAGCGCGGAGCGGCCCGGGCGCCGCCTCGGCGGAGCGCCTCGTGTCGGGATGTCGCGACTGGTGCCGGCGCCGGCGTGCGGAGCTCCTCCGCGGCACGGGGCCGTGAGCGGTGCTGGCGTTCGCGGGCCTATCCCCGAAGCTGCCGCAGTAACAGAAATCCTCCCTGCAGACGCACCGTCTCCGCTCGTGCCTGCTTATTGCTGCTGCTTGGGGATTTCTGCGCAGCTGTAGGTGATCTCCAAAGCCTCCAACAGACGCGCGCGTTACTTGAGAGAACCGGGCGGGCTGTCGCTGTGTTCTGGGCCTGCCGGATCTCTTGTGCCTGAAAAAGCGAGGAGAGCCAGAGGGGGGGAGGCTGTGCTGCTCCCACCCGAGGAACACGTGCTGGGAGTGCGGCAGCCTTCCCCTCAGTGAGGTTTCTTTTCCCGTTGTCTCAACAACCGCCTGGTTTAGCCGTGAGCAGGAGAGCCTCTGAAAGCTGTATTCTTGTGGTTCAGCAGTTTCACCATGTGGGTGACTGGAAAGTGGTCCTTTGGGCTCATCTCCATTTTATCACCTAAGAAAAGGGTAACGGTTCTCTTCTGAAGTAGTATTAAATTTGGATTCCCTATGAGACTATGCAAATAATGAGAGTAGGGCATGTAGCTAAAATGAAACCTGACCTAGTTTTTCCTATTCCCAATACTTAGCCTTTTATGTTTTTGATTGTATTATAATACATACTTTTCTATCTTTTCAGACAATAATTTTGTTACCGTTAACTGGACACAAAATTGGATCTATAGGAAATTGTTCAGGCGTTAGCATTGAACAGAGTTCAATTGTTAACGTTTCAGCCTCTCCTGAGCTTGCAGCAATACTTTATCAAATAAAGGATTCTGGCATTACAGCCCTTCTGGGAAGTTCACAGTCTGCGAAAGCATCACAAGCATCTGTCCTCTCTCCATGTCTCTCTCTTGTGCCTCTTACCTTCTGGGATTAGCTGACAGCTTTTTAGTGAAAGAGTCTTTGATTCCTCTTCCCCCCAGGTTGATAGCATATAGTTTTTCCCTTAAAGAAGAACTGCAGGCCAGCCAGATTGGCCTAGATACTGTTGTTCTTTTTCTCTCAGAAGAGTGCTTCAAGTGATGGAGATCTCCAGTGAAGTGTGACATCCCCAGCTGCTCTGCTACAGGGCGTATTTTACTAGCTCAGCACATACAATCTTTCAGTGTAGGAGCAGGTCTTGTTCTTGGGAAGCCCTGGCAGCAGCCCGTGTGTAAGCAGTTGGAGAAGACTGAAAAACAGTAAAGGCTCAGTCAAAGGAGTTTCCCTCCTGGGTGTGTTCTGCAGACAAGACTCAGAATAAAGCTCTTCAAGGCTGGCAATTATGTAGCTGCTTTTGGCAGAACTGAGAAGTTGGTAAAACTGAGCGTGTTGCCAGAAACTGCCCCTCAGTATTGGTTTAGAGTTGTCTTCTCAGCCTGTAGTGACTGATTTGTACCTCCTTTGCCAGTGCAGAATGGAAGCGCTCACACCTGGGCCTTAATTTCATGTATGCTTTAAATTGGTACAAATGAAGTCTTGTCTACCTCCTGCTTATTTCCCCAGTTCCTAACATAAAGCTGTATTTCTGCAGAGCTGTACAGAGAACAGGACTGGGGAATTGAGCTGCAACAAAACCAATGTACCTCTACTCTCCTCCCTGGGAAAGTTCCCAGTCCTACGGAAAACAGTGAGAATGTGGTGGATATGTTTCTTTCAGAAACAGTGTGGGCTTATTACAGCTGAAACAGGTGTTATTGCAATCCAGTGTACTACACTGAAAAAAATACATCTTGCTGACCCCCGAGCTCCTTATCCTTGTGGTAACAATGTGGTATTCAGCATTTATAGGGTTTCTGCAGTTCTTTACATCAGACAGTTTTGGCAACTTCATCACTGTCCCTTTTCTTCTGTAATTACAGATCAGAACAGTCATTTACCCTATGGAATTCTGAGCAATAACTGTGATTGGAAAATGCTTTGAAGGTGTAAAGTGTTACGAGGACCACATATTGCTCTCTCATGGAGATTGATATTCAGCAGAATGGTTTTTACAGATTGAGCTGTAATGTGGAAATGGACAAACAGTGCAGATTTTTTTCTTAATACAAATCATTCTTTATGAATGAAGGATGTCTCTCCCAATTTCTAAGTCTTGTAAAATCTGTAGATACTTGCTCTCTTAGCAGCTCTATGTGTCCTGTTCTGGTTGCAGTTGTTCAGACAGTAGTTCCCTTGTTTTCACAAGGTTCCCTTTATTTTAATGGAGTATGGTAGCACTCTACAGGTGCTGTTTTTGAATGAATTTTGTATCTATTGCTTCTTTTTCCTCCGTTTAACAGATCTGCTTTCTTTTACCAGGTGTTCAGATCACAGCTCAGTGTTTCTTCAGTCAGTGACCAAGATGCCTGCAGGGCAGGACTGCAGCCAGTTAGCCGGTGGAAAGCCTATGGCCTCAATGGGTACCCAGGTAGGTACTCTGATTTCAAGAAAAATAATTACAACGTTGTTGCTTCTGATTCAGACATCCTCTGTTTTATCTTTCTTCCCCCATCTGAAAAATCTGCTTAGGTTTACCTCAGCATAATTTAATGTTTGTGATATTGGTTGGTTGTTTTTTTTTTCTACTTGTTGGTTTGCTGGTTTTGTTTTGTTTTGTTTGTTTGTTTGAAAAGTGCAAGAGGACAAACACATCAGTTAAAGGATGAGATGCAGAGATACATGGAGGTTAGAACAGAAGAACCAGTAGTTTCATGGTATTTTAACCAAACAGACCATCCCTTGTGGGAAAGAATCCACGTTGCCATAGCCTTTGATAGAAATTTTATACTTCTGCAGCATCAGTTCCTCTTCAACATATATCATAAACACTAGATAAGTGACTGAAATACAGCCACTTCAGGCCTGAAGTGTGGCCTCTATTTACTGGTGTACAGAAAGTGAATATTGACCTCTTGTTCTATGCAAGGTACAGAATAATTTCGTTAGGCACATTGTTTAAATAAACTGAAATTGATACTAGATTTTCAGGTCACTTAGTAGAGACTTAGATGTCAGGTTGGATGGGACTTTTGGAGGTCTCTGGTCCGTCCTCCCTGCTTTAAAGTAGGGCCAGTTTGAGAGTTAGATCAGGTTGCTGAGAGCTTTGTTTGGGTGAGTTCTACAAACCTCCAAGGACAGAGATTACTTTCTGTGCACTTGATTCAGTGCTCAGCTGTTCTCATTGTGATTTTTTTTTTCCACCTTTTATCTAATCACAATCTGCATTGCTGTAATTTGTAACTTGCTTCCCATAATCTTGCTATGAACCCTGGAGAAGAATCTGGCTCCATTCTTCACAGTCCCTCTTTAAGTAGCTTTTAGTCGTATAGGCCAACGTGCAATCAGCCTTAATTGCCACAAGGGTGCACTACTGACTCAGGCTCAATTTGTCCTCCAAGACAAACTGGTTTTATGGCAGGTTCTCATTGACACCTTGTCTTATCAAGATTGAAGCTGGAGACCACTTGTGCTAGGCGTAAGTTCATACTCAGTGTGCTGCAGGATTCTGCTGCAGTACGAAAACTGCATTTGTATCCTCAAGGCAGATTTTATTATTATACAGATCCCCAAGGAATTCCTCTTTTGCTTATTATATTGGGCTCTTTCAAGGCCAAAAATGTTGCCTTCGATGCTTGGATTCTTGTTCTCAGTTCTGTGTGTAATTAGCCTTCCAGGCTTCAATTCCTTCATTAGCACCTGGAGGCAATACATCCCTAGTACAGTTTAATTCATATAGGTAGTAAAATGTTTTGAAAACTGCACATCAAAAGCTGTTGACAGAAAGGGCAGTGTTATTACTCTGTTCTATATGGAGGCTGACAGAAAGTAAATTTAATGTTTCTGGCAAATAAACTTGTTGTAATCAGACCTGTAAGGAAGCTACCTGTAGACTGAAGGTGCAGGAAATAAAATGAAGTGAATGACAGTGTCTTATGACTATACTGAAGGCTCTTTTTCTAACCACTTAATTTAATTTTCTGAGGTCTGTGAGATATGCTGGCAGGAAGATTTTTCCATGCTTTTATTACTGCTTTATAAGGCTGCAAGGCAAGTTTGTGTCCTACTGAGACACCTAGACTTGCTTCTTCCTTTTTCATCTATTTTTATCTGTTTGCCTTGATATGACTGCAAGTTCAAAAAGACAGAATAGGGCAAAACCGTGAAACCTCCTTTTCTTTTGTTCCTGCTGTATCCTTATCTTTCTCTGTATGTGAATGTGTTGGTGAGTCTTACTGAATTGACAGTTTTTGAAAGAAAGCCTTGATTCTCAATAAGTATGATACAGATTAATAGCATCTTCTCAGCACTCTCATTCATCAATGCTGTCAATCTTGTCTTTGAAGGAAACACCCCTGGGGTGTTGGGGAAAAAATCCAGTAAAGAATCCTAATATGCTTATATCCTCATATATCCTTAAATATAAGATATGTCTAATAATGGCATATCTTATGGCAAGGACTCCTTTCTGTTAAGATATGGACCAAACAGATCCGTTACATCTGTGCTTACCCTCTTATTTGGGCAGTTGCTTGAACTCTGCCTGAAATGCTTGGCTAAATCACTGTGCTCACTAGCTACCTATTTACTTCATTTCGTTGATAAATTTTGCAGTCATTGATAATTAATAGACTACAGCAACATAGCTGGAATACAGTTTGATTTTCATCCCATTTGAGTAATACCATACAAAAGTGTAAAGATTGATACAGCCACACTTGCTTGGAAATAAGCACAAAGCAAAGGAGAAAACAGTTTACAATCTAAGAACTTGTCCTGTGGACTGCTTTCTGCAGTTCATGACAGTGAAGGAGCACATGACAGTGAAGTGGCAATAAGAAGATAGAATGAGTTCTGAGACAGCAGCAGGGTCATTTTGAAGACTACAAATTAACCATCACGATAGCTGTAATAGTTATAAAAACTGTAACTAAAGGGTTAAAAAGAATAATTCTGCTGAAGCATTTCAGTATCAAATTTACTCCAAAGCAGCTGGCTTCCCAAGTTCTTGCCCCTTTATCTACCTGCAATCTGTATGCTTTGTGCAGATATGTTATTGCCTTTGAGTGCCCTCCATGCCTTCTAACTTAAAGGGATAAATTTTTTGTTTTGAAAAAACAGTAGGTCTTAACCTTTCAGACCTGTTAATAGATTTCTAAGGTGTTCTCTCAGTACTCCAACCCTTCTCCTTTTCTCTGATTTTATTAAAAACAGGGATATGTCTAACCATACCTTCTCCTCTCACCCCCTCTTCCTCCTTCTTCCTGGTCAGGCTTTATTTTCATACAAAACCCTTTCCTTCCGGGCTGCCAGCGTCACTGGGTGAAACAGTGTCTCAAGCTATACACCCAGAAACCCAATGTGTGCAACCTGGACCTGCATATGGCTCCTGAGAAGACGGCTGATCTGTGGGGGCAAAGCAAGGAAAAGCTGAGGTGAGTCCAGAACATCCTTTGGTCAAAACTAACAGAGCCAGAAGTGCTCAGCTCTGAGAAGGCTGAATTAAAAATGGCAAGGAAAGGAAGCTGAAAAAGATTCTGTACATGCTGGCAGTATACAGATCATGTCAGACATGCCAAGTTAAAGATGTATCTTTGTATGATGTGCATCCTTGTTAAGTCTCTTATTTTACATTAATAACATGATTTTCTAGTATCAAATTATGCCAGAGCTGTCAGTCTAGGGTAAAATAGCAACCCTGGCTGATGTCATGGTGCTCAGAAGCTTGCGAAGCTCAACTACAAGTGGAATCATGAGGTCTCCTTAGACCTCAGTTTTTCTGAGGCAGAATGGATCCTTTCCAAACATGCTGTGCCTGCTAAGCTCTTCTTTCCAGTCAGCTGCTGGATCTAGCATGCTGTAATTAAAAAGCTGTATGTTCGCTTTTTTGTATATGCACTCAAATTGACCAGTTTCCATGTTTTGATTTTCAGATTTTTTTTTTTCATCCAGTCTGAGATGGCGATTAAATGTGTGCCATTTTAATGTCAGTCTTGTTTACTTTGAAAGATTCCCACAGGATCGGAGTTCTGTGGCAGACAAAGCTGCCTTTCTTCTACCTGATTTGGAGGTTAATGGAGAATTTGTCCAAGTTTTAAATTCAAACAGAAAACGTTAAAATCTGAGCTTTTTTAAAAATAATAATTGTAAAAATAAAAGGAAGTTAGATGCTGTTTACAGTATACAATCATTATTTATTTAGGTATTTTTCCTTGTTGATTTAATTGCTTATTTTTGATAAGGTTGTGTCATGTGCTGGAGTGACCAGATTTCCCTGCAGCTCTCATCTTTTGCTACAGCCTGTTAGGAAAATTGATGTGCTGAGATTTTTCTTAAAAAAATATACATATATTCTTAACATCCAAAAGAAATGGATTTGCCAAAGCAAAGTTTGAACTTCTAAATATTCATTCCTGAGAGAGAAGTTAGACTGCACTTGAGTCTTCCAGGCTCAGTTGGAATTTGTTACAGAAGTTCAAATGCCTTTTTTTTTTTTTTTAAATTTTCCATCACGTATGAAAAAGTTGTTCTTTGAAAGCACTATGGACTGTGCCCTACAGCTGAGAAAGGTTGGGTACTATTCCAGCTTGACAGACCTTTCCCAGCAGTACCTCCTGCGCACATGGAATGATCAGAACAGAGGTTAATTTGCAGCTGAATCTAGTTCAGTTGAAAACAGCATTTGGAAGAGCAATGGCTGGCAGGAACACCACGTTTTATTAAGCATTTGGCTTGGTCTTCACATCTGCAAACTGCTGTATCTGTGCTTTACCTAGGGGGAAGCAGATCAAACTAGCCAACTTGTCTGGTATTAGGAGTGAGAACTTTTCAGAGAGTGGAGAAACAGCATGCTTAGCTAGAAGGAGGTCTGTTTCCAAAGCTTTTTATCTTTCCATCTTCTTCTTTAAGGCTTTTTAATCTTCCATCAAATAGATACCTAAGTGTGCTTGGATCATGATATATCTGCTGTTTGCAGGAATCATAAGGTAGGGAGAGTTCATACAGTTCCTAGAAATGTATGCTGTGCTCTCTCTGCAAAGTGGAGTACTTAAAGTGCAGAGGACACATGTCCCTGCCAGGGATAGATATGCATGTATATGAAAGAAAACAGTTGGGAGGATTTTATGGATGGAATCATTTATCAGCAAGTAAAGAAAAAAAAAAAAGTGCTTCAGAGCATCTTCCCTCATAATCTTCAGTCTTGCTCTCTTTCTAACGTAGCTGAGGCTGAACTTCTCAGTGTCTTCTTGCAGGAGCACCTCTGCTACAAGCTTAGGAACTCATTGTTTCTGAATATGTAACACTCCAGACTTTCCCCTTCTAAACAATCACACATGAAATCACGTGCAAAAGAATAAATTCTGGGAATCCAGACCTTCTGAGCTAGTGTTCCTGCTTCTGTGTGAACATTAACGCAGTAGCTAAAGAAGATGAAGGGCACTTTCAAAAGGCAGGTGCAAAAAATGTTTAATTATGAACATTAACTTATTGTTTGGAAGATGCAGAGGAATGAGTTGTGGCCTCTCAATTTTCTAAATGTTGTTACTTGTTAGTAGGCTCCATAAATGGTTCCAATCAACATGTATTTGATGCTTACTGTGTTGCTACATTATGGCAATTACAGTTGCTATTACCCTGTGACAAAGAAGGAAACTGGAAAGGTGACTTTCTTTCAAGATTCAGTGAGCTATGAAAAAATCACTACAAGTAAAGAAACTGGCCTTTAATTCCTGTTCCCAGTTTAGCTTACAAGCTACTAATACTAAAGATCAATAAAGTGAAGGGCAGAAACAAGCTGTGTATCCAGTAGAAATGCACACTGAATGCATATGCTTGGCTGACACTTGACCATGGCAGCACAGATACTATTAATTCAGTTTTGTAAAGATCATGTCTTGCTGAACTAATGAGGCTATAAATGAGAGCCAACCATCTGGCGCTACTGTTCTCTTCTGTCTCCTCCCTTTCCTTTCTTTCTTTACTTTATCTCACAACTAAGCATGAGAAAAGAAACTGAAATTTCTGGCATAAGTGGACTAGGAGATATATGTGTACCTTTTTTTTTTGTATTTGTCACTAGCATGTTTCTGTCTGATTTACTACAATAGTACTCTTTGGTGTAACTTTGTAAGAACTTTTCTTTAAGCCATAGTAGAAGCACACCCCTGACATCTCTTCCTGCCTTCCATGTCTTCAGGTAAGAAGGCTAAATAGTTGTGAGGTTACAGGTCACTGCATTAGGGTTATCACTTGAGGAAAACAGTTCTGGTATGCATTATGCTGCTCTTTCCTTAAAAATAAAAAAAAATGAATCCAGTGTACTTTTGACCCTCTGTGACATCCTGGATAGAAAACACCCATAGTCTAAATTCCTTGACGTTACAAGATGCATATATTCATATCTAAAGTCACCTTACAGAGTTAATTCATCCTAAGGGCTTCTTGTAAAAGTACCAAGCAGTAGAACTAATGGCCTTTTGCTTAGGACAGTGTTTTCCAGCTTCATGTACTTCACTGTCAACTAACACATTTTTCTTTCTTGTAATTTTCCATTAAGTGCCTGAAATACTTCATTCTTGTGTTTATGTGTTTTAGATCTTTACAGATTCTCTTTCAGCTGCACAAATACTACATGCTTAATTCTGACTTACAAGTCTGTGCCAGTTCACTGTGTTGTCTCTGTATAATATCCCAGCTTGGGTACCAGAGAACAAATACAACAGCAATTGGCAGTAGACTCCACAACTTGTGCAGATTGAATGAACTGAATTTTTTGTTCTGAAATTCAGTTCAGAAACAGAAATTTCAACAATGAACGGTGGTATAAAAGTAAAATGAAAATAAAAGTTTAGCATTGATGGTTTTAACAGGATCACGTGGATGAATGAATGTCATTACTGCATACTGTAGTATCATAAAATCTCTCAGAAATCAGCATGTATCCTGTTTCTTTCAATTTTGTCTTTGCAGAAGGAAAGGTTCCAGTAAATGTGAGCCCAGAAGCTTACTGGAGAAGTTGCGCTGGGTGACCCTTGGTTACCATTATAATTGGGATACCAAGGTATTGCAATTTAATTCCTTTCCATTTCTTTTCTTCGGTGTAAGTACTCAGGATTGCAGACAGAAAGAAGGTATTATGGAATAAAATTTAGTAAGGCTCATAGGATCCTACACAACAGTCTGGAGGAAGGGCTGTAACACACCATGCTCCTAAGAGCATTTTAATCTTTTTGGATTCACTATGGAGGATTTGACAGCGAAAGCCCATTGCTGCCTTCTTTGCTTCAAAAGGTAACACAGTAGCATATGCTTTGCTCTAGACCTGTGACTCCATTTCAGGATAAGTGAGCATTCTTACCTTTCTAAAAGGGAATGTATCAAAAGCACTTACAGCAAGATTGACCTTCCTGCTCAAAGACAGGTACTTCTGAGAAATGCTGCTCCTCAATGGAGGGATGAGAGCAGGAAGAGTCTGCTTAAGATGCAACTTTGAACTTAGAATTTGAACCAGTACAGCACAGTTTCACCAACTAACAGCTATTTTGGGGCTCCTCAACATAATGGAGACAGAAGTAAACTTGTTCAGCAGATTGAGTCAGATAGAGGTGGTGACAGGACATCAGAGTGCTTATGTATAGTCTATCAGTATATTACAGATACTTAAGCAAATCAGTTTGCAGCCTTATATGTACCAGATCAGCATATTATTTTGATGCCTTAAGGAAACTGGATTACTCCCTTTTACTCTTGTCAGTCAAAATCACTTGAGGAAGAGAGGAAGAAGTGGGTTTGCTATTAATGCCTGTCTGTCTTATCCTTCAAAGGAGCAAAGATGTTTGTTTCAGAACTCTGAGATGAGCTCTGTTGGCAAGATACAGAACTCTCAATTAGCAGAATTAGCTGGTGACTGAATGACCTGACATAGATCCTCACGATGTTGGTATTAATATATCAGCTTCCAGTTTAATTATAATGTTCAATTCCATGATTAAAATGAATGGCTGTTAATTCAGGCAAGTTCAGCATAGGCCCAGAATTAGGTGATTTGAGGAAAACTTCTTTTGCCATACCTGTGTTGTAGTCCACCTTTATGACTATCCGCCAGACTTCTGAGATATGATTCATTGTTTGTTTCCAGTTGTATTTGCTGTTCCGATATTCTAGGTTTGCTCTTTTTGTATTTTTGTTTTGTTTTGTTTTTTTTCACTTTCCTTCCTCCAGAAGTACTCAGCAAATCATCACACTCCTTTCCCCTCAGACCTTGCATTCTTGTCAGAACAAGTGGCTGCAGCCTGTGGATTCCGGGGTTTCCAAGCCCAAGCAGGGATCTTGAACTATTATCACTTTGATTCTTCCTTGGGAATCCATGTGGATGAGTCTGAACTAGACCATTCTCGTCCCCTTTTATCATTCAGGTGAGTCCATTTGAGTGTTACTGAAGGCATGGTGGATTTATTTATTTATTTATTTATTTTTACTGTGGTCATATATGGCTAGAGGAAGTTAGTATGATGTACTTAGTTAAGTGAGCATATAATCTGTATTCTCCAAAGACCTGAATATTGGGAAGCTGTAGCTCAAGGACATAGGTTTCTTGAAGACTGCTTGAATAGTATGGATGTGGCATCTCAGTGAAATTGCTCTCAGTACAGGGCACAGTCATGTTCTAAAGCAGCAGAGTGGCAATTTAGGTACTAAGCAACAAGCATGAAATACCTCAGCAGAACATCAAAACTGGGCAGAGCAACTGCTCACACTGTGTCTAAAGTAAACCAGTCCTTTTGGTCTGTTTCCATGTTCTCCGTGTTCTAACAAGGAGTTATCCTTGGTTAGAACCAAAAATCAGCATTTTTGGTTTAGTTTGTTTTTGTTGTTTTCTACGGAAATATAGTTGTTGCTAATATTTTCCTATTGTACATATAGTTTTCTCTGTCTCAATTTGTTTTCTCTTCTCTCTCTATCCTCACACCATCTTTAGTTTTGGACAATCTTCCATATTTTTACTTGGGGGCCTGAAGCGGGAAGAGGCCCCAACAGCAATGTTCATGCACAGTGGAGATATCATGGTGATGTCTGGCTTCAGCCGTCTGCTGTACCATGCTGTCCCCCGAGTCCTTCCCAACCCTGAAGGGACAGCTTTGCCTTCGTGCCTTGACCAGGCACTTTCTACAGACCTTCCTGTTGGCTCAGTCATTGAGCACAGCTCTGATGAGGATTGGCAAGTCTGTGCCAAGTACTTGCAGTCTTCCCGTATCAACATGACTATTCGACAGGTGTTGGCTGAGGGTCAGAAATTTCCAGAGGAGTCTGGGACAAACACAGAGAGTCAGATATCCTCGGAAGATGGTCACCATCAAGAGAACAGCAGAGCCAAGAGACATAAACCAAATATGGACAGCTGAGACCCAAAGATTGTGCTAACATGGACTGAATGGACAACCTCAGTTGTACCAGAAGTCTTTGTACAGGCATTCAGAAACAGCTGTAGAATAAAGCAGTCCTTGCTGCTGTAAAGAAGAGGTTGGGGTCTGGGATGAAGAAGTAAAATGAGAAAGAAGGATAAATTTAGGACTAGGACTCAGAAGATGAACTTTGCTGTGGGCATTTATTGTATTTGGTTCCCTTTATGATGTACTCTCCGCAACTTTCTGACCTGTATGTCAGAACTGTAAGCTTGATTCAGTTATGTTTGTAAAATATTTTGAAATAATTGGGCAGAAAGCGCTAGCGAATGATACCATTGCTATTTATTAAAGAAGCTAATCAGGCTAGTAAAGCTCAGCTGGAGTGCGTTAACAAATGTGAGGGAGAGTAGGTTGCTATGAAACCTACCTGCAGCATTTCCAAGTGAATTACTTCTACTGCAAAAGCTGGTTCAGTGATCAGAAACTAGCAGCTCCCTTGAGCAACACGTGGTAAGCTTGTCCTAGCCTTGTGCTCTCCTTCTGCCTGCTTGCAGCCCCCCAGCTGCAGCAGAAAATGATTTTGAGTGGATCTGGACTTCTTGCATACCTCAGCTTTTAAAGGGAAATGACATGGGGCAGTATTAGAATACCAGTTGAGTATGTCCTACACCCCCATTTTTTCACATCTGCCTCCTCTAAGTGCCTGCAGATTAGGGTCCTGCAGCCTCAAGCTAGCATCTATAAGTTACAGAATGTCTTTCAAGTAAAAGCAATGAAGTTGTAGACTGAGTACATAAAAAAGAAAATTATCAGTATCTCTGCACAAAGATAAATATACTGAAACAAAGAAAAGTACTGGCTTTTGTTCTCGTTCTCTTTAAGACTCAGACCTTCCTATCGGCTTTTTAATGCAATTTTAATTGTTGGAGTGGAATGCTCTATCTCTAGGGTATTTTGTTGCACTTTCCAATGAATAAACTTACTCAGTTTTTAAATTAAAGATCTTTATCAGTTTGGAGCTTTTTTCTTTTTCCTTTTCTTTTTTTCCCTGTTAGTTATTTCAATGTATTGTTCATGCTGTTGCTGCATCCGTTGTACTGTTTCCTCCAGGCATCTTTTAGATCTATTGCTCTGCCATCTGCCAGCTCTGGCAGAGAAGCCCTACGTGTATGTCTGCAGGGCCACTTTGCTTAAGAGCTCTTTTGGGCTTGTCAGATAGTTCCTGAGGGGCACAGCCTGCGGTATCAAAGTCTAATTTAGTGTGTATATGGCATCTTTTCCTCACAGGAGTAAGTATGTTTGATTTGCTTATTTCACTGCAGGTGAATATTTGTGTGTGCATCTGTGCAGCTAATTCTGTATACAATACTGCAATGAGTTCCAGTAATTTAATGACCAAAATAATCAGGTATGGTGTTTAGTCTCTCACTTCCAAGTTCCACGCCAGAAGAGTATCCTTCTATACCCTAGGTGGGTTTGGTGTAGTTATAGCTAAGCCCTAGAAGTGTGAATACTATTACAGAGAGAGGTTACAATATGACCAGAAGAGAAATGTTAACTCTCTGGGAAGGTCTTGGAGAGCAACGGAGGAGCTCCTTTAGATGGGGACAGGGAGAGGAATGCTCATCTCCCTTACAGTGAGAAGGCAAACTCTGTTCTTAACTCAGAAAAAAGCATAAAACCTACCTACACCCTTATCACTGAAGCTTAGAGAAGAGGAGATGCATGAATCTAGACAGTTAAAAACTGAACTGGACTGACGCAAGCTGAGGTTGAAGTATCTTTATATTTTCATTTCTTAAATGCCTTCAATTCCCTACAAATGTGACAGATCATAGGACGGCTTGGGTTGGAAGGGACCTCAAGGATCATCAAGCTCCAACCCCCCTGCTACAGGCATGGCCACCAGCCTTCATTTCTAATACTAGACCAGGCTGCCCAGGGTTCCACCCAACTGTGATTCAAGAACAAGAAACCATACTGTTTGAAATTGTAGTAAATGCTGAAACACAGCAATAGCAATTATTGATGCCCATCCAGGCTTTTTATTTAGATGTGGCTGTGCTGAAAACCTGAGTTACAAACTTGCAGTCAAGCTTACTATCTAATGTTACTGTGAAATACACTCAATATAATTTTGTATTGGACACTCACAAAAAGAACCAAGAAATGGGCATATCAGAAACGACCCCAAAAAAATGAAGTCATCCATGTGTGAAGACTAGGAATATAAGACGGGAAAACTTCCCGAATAGCTGTTAATAATAGTGGTGTTAAGTCTGCAACTGTGTTCACAGCTAACAGTAGAGTACAGATGGGCAAACCACAGAACTTCTACGAATTACAATCCTGAGTATGTTTTTGAAAAGGCAACATCCCTTGGATGACAGAGTAATGAGGCTCCATCCAATAAGTACTCCACTAATTTTTCCTTCAGGGCAGAATGACTAGAAATCAGTGGCCAGGTCAACACCGATAATAGATTGTGGCATTTGCACTTTACTTGTTAAGGTTTGCAATGACCCAACAGAATTTTTCATAGCCCAAATTTTTATATCAATCAATACCACAAATATTTGCCTCTGTTCACAGGAGCACATGCTGAGATAATCTCTGTAGTTCCTTATTCTTAGAAAGAAGCATTGTCCAAGTGCCACAAGCTCAAATGCTTCAGTACCACAAGTATCAGTCTTCTAGGATGCCCTGCTATATGCAGTTGAGGGGAAGGAAAGAAGAGGTCATCTAGGCTAGCTCTGCAAGAAAATGTATGTAATAAGCTGATTACCACAGGATAACGATGTGTTTAATTCAAATCCACCTGTAAATGAAGCATCTTGTTTAGCATATGTACTCTGTTTATTATGCGATCAATAGATAAACTATCTGTCCAAAAGAATATAAACAACCACTGATACATATTTTTTTAATATTCTACAGTAAAGGAAAAATAAAATCTGCAGTTAAATCAGAATCAATGTACAGTGGGATGAATACTGGAAGTAGAAGAAAAAACTGCCTGTACAAACGTAGCATTTCAGTGCACCTGATAGTACTGTGCTAGAGAAATCCACTGTTATAAACTGGGCTGCACAGTAGTGCCCAAGACAGATTTACTGCATGTCTTTTTCTTGGCAACCAGGCAGTAACTTACTGGCAAAGCAGTCCCTAAAGCTATGCCTGCTGCCTTAAAGATTCTGCTCTTAGGTATTTTTCCTTTGAGAGCTTGTTGACTTTTTTTTCGCTCAGTGTTCCATGTCAGATAAAAGATGGACCTAAGGAGTATAACTGGATCTAACCTCTGCTGTTTATGCTTTGCTGAGCTAGAATATAGGAGAAGCTGGTAGACAGGGAAGCAGCTAGTTGGTAGGAAATACCCACATAGCAGCACAGTATCTCAGTCTTACTGCCGTGCCTGTAAGTCCAGGTTGAAACTGACTTACATTTTACCAACTTCAGACAAGAACTTGGATTTATCTTCATTACATAGGCCATTGCCATTCTCTGCATCACAGCTTAAGCAGGACAGATTTAACACAAAGGAAAAAGTAATTAGTGACAAGACTTATTCCTATTTAATTAGGATAAAAAATTGAGTTACAACTCAGTGTGTTCTAAGCTTACTGTAGTTCTGATGAAATCAGAAGACTTGCCTACATCTGAACGTGTTACATCAAAAAGTTAACAGATGTACACAGAGTCCGGGAATTAATGATCCAGAAAAATAAGTTGCTGGAGGCCTCGAAAGACCACTACATTAAAAAGCTTTGGTAAAAGACTAGTGACATTCACTCACACTCTGCCAATGCCTCTATGCATTCTAATGACCAAATCTAGTTTGATCTGGAAGAAGTAGAACAAGATGCTGTTGACACAATTTTAACATGGTACAAAATAAGTTCAGCTATTTATACTTAACAAATGACAAGCACAAATACCTTAACAAAATAATTTTCCTATGCAAATAAGGAAAGACTGCCTAATAATACGTTCACATATACTCTAATGGAGTTGAGGTGAGATCAAAGTTGCCATTGTGCAAGTTACAGCTTAGCTCATACAGGCTCTTTCCTTGCATCAATTGATATCTATAGTCAATGGGCCACAGAAACAGTGGTTTTAAGGCACCTCTAGAATTGTCTCGTCCAACCTCCCACTAAAAGAGTACTGTTGCCAACAGATTATCCATGCTAGACTTTGAAACTTTCCACTATGATGACTGCCATTTCTTTCAGTAACCTGTATCAACACTACCCCCCTCACCTTATGAAGAAGTTTTGTCTTATTTCCTCTCTGAGTTTCCCAAAACAATTCCTTCGCTCTTCTCTTACCATCTACTACTACCACTAAGAATTTGGCTCCACTGCTTTTGTAACTCCCCAACCTTTAGCCTCCTTTATGCCACACAGAAGAAGGACTCAACGCTCACATTTTCTTGTACATCATGCGCCCTGTGTCCTTGGCTCCTATGTAACCTTCCTCTACACCTTTTCCAGTTTTTCAGGTGGTAGATCAGCCTCTCAGCTAGTGCTGATTTCTATTACAAACAAGGTGTCAACAACAAATGAATGACTGAATCCTAGTTCCCAAACTCACTAGATTCACTTAAATCCATTGGATGGATAGGGTGTTTTGTTTTTGGGGTCCCAGTGGACAAAGGAACAATCTGAAGTGCCAGAGTAATTCTAGCCCAATTAGCTCTATCCCCATCCAGTTCTTGCTATTTTAAGTGTAAGACCCATCTTAGGAGGCTCTGACTATGCACAGAGACTCTGAAGGAATTAACCAGCTAACCACGGATCTCTCTAAGATGGTAAGTATTTAGACGATAGCAAGGAGCCAGATCTGACTTTCATTCGCATCCAAGGGTTTGTGCTCAGATAGACACCACAGAAAGTATCTACTGTATCTACTACTACAAGGAAAAGGACAGAAGGGATGAAGTGTAAAAGTCTGCAGTAGCTTTCCCTCTCTTCAGAATAGAGAATATGATTACTCCTCTGGAAGTGAAAGTTTTAACCCTATTTAGGCATTTCCCATCTCATTTCCATTCCATCTCTGACTTTTTCCTACATTGCTACGTTCCTATGTTGCTGATGAGCACCTTCTTCTACAAAAATTCCCATGTGCAGTGAACTGTACCCTGTATACTACCTGGGGGTTTCTTTGGGTTGACTCCCTTTTTGTGTCTGTAATAACACAGCTTAGCACTAGTGTGAGATGAACCAAATAGTAGAGTCCTCCTTCACGGTCCCTTGATGCTCATTAACTCAAGTGCTCAGTGCTGCTAACTGAGCCAGAGGAAGACATTTGTTCACAATACAGCTTTTCTAATCACCTTTATGTGCAGATCTCAAGGCTCTTCCAAAAGTTAGGTCAAGACCATTACTCTTTGGAAAGTCAGAAGCAAGGTCAATTTATAGCAAAATGAGCTAAAACTGAAATAGAATTAAAGTGAGATACAAAGAAACATTCGCCACAGAGAGAATAAAAAGTGAATCAGGTGAGAAGACACTATTTCTTTATTCTTTCATGTTGGGAAGTCAGCACTTCACACTGGCTTTTAGCTTCCTTCTAGGTGAATTTAAAACTCATTCTGTATTTACTGAGAAAGGCCAGAAGAATCAATAAAGGGCTCGGCTTTCTAGACCTGATCTTCTCACCAATCATTTCTGTCTCTGTTCTGTGCTAAGGGCTCAGATAAGAAGGCTTTGTTTTTGTTTTCAGTCCCCTTAATGGATAGGTTTCTTAATTACGATGGGGGAAAAATGACTGCAATTTTGCAGTGGTAAATTAAAATCAAAATGAGGTAGCAAAGAGCAGGGTTTGGAGGGGAGGGGTGCAATCAGAAACAGCTATTGATTCTGAAATGATGGAGGAGGCCAGGGGAGAGCATACAGGCTGGAAAGGAGACTCATCTTTCAAGTGCTGCTCTTGCATAAAAACAATCAGGCAGCAGTGTTGGTTGTTGCTGAAACTTTAACATTAGCTTTGTTTTCAAACTGAATTTAAATTTTGGAAACACTTGTCTGTTCATAAGGGGATGGCTCCTTACACAAATCTTGAGATGATGGAAACCTGAGTGTGAAGAAACTCTTAGTAGTAACAGTAATAACAAAATATTTGGAAATAATTTATTCTAAGATAAAAAGTCACTGTTCACAGCCAAGTAGGCAGAGAAAATGCAACATCCGTATGACGAACACAGGGCAAGCTGCAAGATCTAACACCCTTCTCACTCACAGTTATTGCGTAGTACGTCTCAGCTTTTCTTGAATAGAGAGGACTGATCTGGCATTGTCTTACCTTGTTGCAGTGACTGAGACCAAGTGTGGGCACAGCTTTCTGCCACTCTAGACAGCACACTTTCATATATTCTGGCCTTTTTCCCTTCGGCTTTTCAGACAGCATTCCTTTAACAATAAAATCAGATGTTAGCCTGACATTTTGCCAAATAAGCTAGCACCTGGACAGACTCTGTGCAAACAGTACTAATCTTCTAATAACTGGTTTGTCTGATTGTTCTCATTGCTGTGATGAAACCTGACTTTGTAAAAATGCTGATTATCAGATGTTTGGGGCATAGAATCAGGAAGATTTTAGCCCCACTATTGCAAATAATATTCTAAATACAGCCATTCTAAATACAGCTGAATGCTTTAAGTAAATAAGGCTCTATTTTCAACACAGATAGCTGAAAACACCTTGGAGGTCCTCTTGAAAGCAAGAGGTTTGTTGCACCATGCAGGAGACATCTCTTCCACTCTTCACACTAACATTGTTCTACAAAATCCTCATCCCAAAGTGGTGACAACACAGTGTTTCCCTTGCTCCTCCCACAGGGACTGGCATTTTGTACAACTATGTCCTTGTTCATAAGCCATTTTCTTCCTCTCATTCTCCTCCAAGCAGTGCAACAAAATCTGTTATTTTCCCACTTCCTCCATCTTTGTAGCCAAGATTCTGCCATGTCACCTGTTCCCTGCCTGACTCCCAGCAGTAGGTAACACATATAATTAGCTGGCAGTGAGAACTCCTCATCCTTGCCTAATACCCTATCTTCACTTGAAAATGGCAGAAGCACACCTTTCCAACAACTGTATCTGTGGCTGCTCCTGCCTTTGACAGCTGCTCCTGGATAGGAAACTGAAGTGCAGGACAGATATTTCTAAGCTCTTCCTGGCTGTCATTGTGCTCTAGGGAAATCTGGATTTGGCATAGTGCTTGGATGCTTCAACACTTACCTGGGACAAAAGTGGAATCAGTCTGCAGATATCTCCCTTATCATCACAGGAGTTTTATGCAGCACAGCAAGTCTTGTATATTCTTATCACTACCACTGTCTAATTCACTGTCAGTTCTTTTCCTAGGACAAAAAAAGGAGAGAAGTTAAAGGAAAGAAAGATTCCAGGTGAGCAAACATAAGAAGTAAAGATACGGCATGCTCCTGATCCCTATGACCTACTTACCCTTTCCCTGTAGCTTCAATGATCATTGCATGCTTTTTAGGGAATAGCAGAGGCTGCTGAAGGCTGCAATCCCTGGATCCACAGATCTCTAATGTCTCCTTTCCCTGGTATTCACACAGAAAATGCTATTTTTTCAGGTGACATGGGGCCTACCAAGAAACCATCCCATTCTGGCATCCCATTCTTTGATTAAGTGTGCAGGTACTCAGTGTTGTTATCATTGGATATTATTTTCTGCAACAGAAAGGCAGGAGAGAGAGAGAAAAATATTAGTCAGAGTTGCTTAATTGAGATCTAATAGCCAAGGTCAATGCTAAGCCAAGAATAGATAGCAGAAGCCTCCTATGATATATTTTTGTGATGAGATGTTCATAGCACACAGACTGATCTATTGTTGGTTTTCACTATGAAAAATTTAGCTATTGCCTGGAATGTACTCAAATCTATTTTGCATTATTTCCTTCCTTTTTCATTTAAAAATATGTTTCTAATGAGACCTTATGACTGTGTGAATTAGCAAGTCTCTGCTGAGTAGAGAAATTGCTTCACCTTGCAGAATTGCAGCTATATGTTCTTCTGCCAGACCTCTGCAAGATGACAAAACCTGTTTATCTGAGTCTAGCATGCTTTTCCATGCCAGAAACAAAAACTCTTAGAGGGAAAAGGTGAACACTCAACTGGCATGTGCAAAGCATCCTGCTCCTCAAATCTTTAACTGAGAACGCAGGAGGGAGATGATTCACATGGCCTCACAGACGTGAGTACTAAACCTAGAGAGCTGATGAAAGAGTTAATTCCTCTGAAGATGAAAGGAATAAGGTCTCCAAGGAATGCATCGTAGCACATCTATTCCATGGAAGATGCTGCTCTACTTTCTTTGCCAGAGCCTATAGCACAGGACACGGTCCAATCCAACTCAGTAAGAACAGAGAACACAGTGTGTATAGGCATCACAGCAAACACGAATACAATAGGTGCAAGGAAGCATTGTCTTCTGGTGCACAGTTACCTTGTGTCTACCTTAGAGCCTTCTATTACCTATCACTGGAGAGCTCCAAGCTCCTATTGCTGCTATTGTTGAAGCCGTTCACTGTGCTGCTCCCTAGAGCACCTCTCTTGCAGTATGGGTGCAAAGTCCTCCAACAGACAGCTCTCTGCACATACACACTATGTACCTAACAACTGCCAACTGGCTCACTTCATTGCTTCTGAGAACACTGTGTGGATGATGATGTATCACAGCAGTTCAAACCACAGTCCTTCTGTTTCTGTACTGCACCAGCAACTAATATGCAAAGTGCCCAAATATTGGCTCTCTTTTACTACACCCCCATGTTCACCATTTCTCCAGTCCAGAGAGAGGGCAACACAACCCTCAAACAGTCATGTAAGAGCAAAAGTGGGTCCAGGCCTTCCAGAACAACATGCAAAAATAATTGCCTGGGAGCCTGGCATCTGGCATGGAAAGGAGAGTGTGGTCGCCATGGTAATGCTTTGCCTCATTTAACTGCAAAGCAACCTCTTGTGTCCTTACATGCAGCCATTCCCGCACATCTGCCCTGCGCATAGCACAGGCAGCAGACTGCACATGTAACCAAACACACACATTGCCCCTCTCCCTGTGGCCACCCCACACAGGGAGGGCACAGATATATTGTAACACCTCCGCTATCCCTCATATATGATGCACACAACACATACTTGCTGAGCAATACACATTCTCTCAGCTCTCTCCCACTCAGGCACCTCAAGAGAACCAGACAGGCTTACAGTCTCAGCTCCTCCAGCTATAGGCCCCTCTGCTGCATAGGTATACGATGCTTTATAAGCACAAAATCAATGCACAGTCTGCCAGCCACCAAAAGCTGCAAGCTCTTTGTCTCCCTCTGACTTGCCACACACCTGACTATAGATCTCATGCAGTTTATTCTTGGATGCATTTTGCTTCGCTTCCATGGCATGAGCACAGAATAAAGGCCCCAGGAAACTGATCTATAACAAGGCCATATGCCACTATGCAGTACAAAACCCAAGGAAAGCTGGTGGTTAGGTCACTTGGTGCTTCTGACTGGACCGTGCTGCTCACACTTCTTGGCTGATAATTATAGGAAATCAACATCAATCCTGTTTCTCCTCAATGTATCCTATGGGTACCTGAAGGAAAGTCCAACTCCCTGTTGATAACAGGAAAGCAGAAGCAAGTGATTTCATAGCATAGCAGGAACAAAGTAGGTAGGAGCTGTGAGCTGCATCCTTAACCCCCTTGCCATGCAACAGTCAGGTATCAACAGATATCAGGTAACAGTCAGCTGTCATAACAAACCACTCAAACTCAGCTTTCATTTACATCACCAGACAGCCTGGAGTCCTATCCAGAGATGCAACTGTCACAACATATTCCATGAGTTCTTCAAGAAGGTGCTGACATAGCTAGAGCTTGGGCAGTGCCACTGTGGCGGGTACAGACCAGCCCTCTGTGAGTTCAGACAGCAAGTAGAATCTCCTCAAACACACATACGTGGCAGCTTCAGTTAACAAGACCTGTTGTGCCCAGCAGGCACAAACTTGTTGGAGCCTGAAGTTTCCATATCACACAGCACCAGTGTCCTTTTCTGCCTTGTGCTGCAGAGAGTTTTAACCAGCACTTGGCAAATGACTAGCATCTAGCAAGTGATGAGGTGATGAGGTAGCTCATGCTGTGCCAGCCACTAGGGTCCAACCACGTTCCACTTGCCGCTACTTTGCTTGTGTGCTCTACACACGTGGCCTCTAAAATGCTCAGAAAACTACCTCAGGTAATGTCTCCTTAGACTGCAGGCAGGATGTCTGCCCATATTCTGTTCTTTGTAAACCTCTCAAGCTCTCCCTGCTTACTTCAGCTCACTCTTGAGAGTGTGATCCAGCTAATGGAAGAGTGACCTGATGTACTTGTACAAGCACACAGCTGAAGTAGATTTCCCTACCTGGTTGCTCAGCACCTCTGGACAAGGTGGTCCCAGTTATCCCAGTACTGGTCAAGATTGCACAGTACATCCTCCCCTCTCTCCAAGAAGTGATAAGCATGTAATTCCCAAGCCCATGCATCTCCTTTCTCTGTCCACTCCCATCTTCACTACCTGTATGCCTGATTATACCTGAGCTCGGGTACCTCTCTGAAAGCAGAGGCCCCACGTGCAGCCCTACGCAGAGGTAGAACCCGGGGAGGGGCTCTGCTGCCTGCAGAGCCTACAGCCAAGCAAGCTGGAACCGCTCTGGCACAGAGAAAGGCATCTAATGTCTGAGCGCACACTTCCCCCTTATGGCTACGTCTGATATAGCAATGGCTCAGACCCGCAGCACCTTCACCAGGCTTGTGATTGTCCCATGAATGTTGAATATCTTACACCTGCCACACGCACATCTCTCCTTCTTCTGCATTAGGGGAATAAACACAGAGTCACTCTTACCAGCCTGTTTGGCTGTTGCAGATCAACACACACGGTGAGCAGCACAAGAAAGCAAGACAACTCCAAGCACTCAGTATGGGTCCTGCCTAAGGTGTCACACTGTCCCTCTGATGGAATCTCAAGCATCTATCCCTGCTCCTGGGGCACACTTCCCCTACTGGAACATCTTTCCTTTCCCCAGATTAAACACGGCTTTTACTTTGATTCTGAATTGAAAGTTTTTAAGTAGATAGTTACGATTAATGATTCTGTTCAATTTCTCCCTCTCCCTCCCATTGCACTGCATGGCTAAAGCCTCTCTCTTCTTATCTGAGTAATAATGTCTTTACCAAAAGGAGAATCAGCAGTCTTAGTAAGTCTTCTGGTTTCCAGTGCCGATCTTCTTCTCTGGACTGAGCTTCAAATAGCTGTTTCTCTCTGTTCTCCCATCACCCCAAATACCATATTTGTAATTCAAGAACAACTTGCTTCACAGGAAGGGTAATTTCCTCTAACATCTACCCTATGACCACCTTCCCCTTCCCCACTCACCTCCCATTTCTGTTCCTTGCTCTGAAGGAAAATGAGTCAATTTTCTGGCTGATACTTTTCTGTTGGATCAGTGAATTGAACTGACCTGTTGCAGATGGAGATTAAAGTACTGCACACTTCACTCATAAGAGGAAGGCAGATATTTACTAATATAAATAGATATGGTAATTTGAACAATGAAGACTGCAACTTAACAAGATTCGAAATGGCTACATATCCTTGACTATTTGCTACGCAGAGGGTGGGGGATGCATAATGAATCTAAGATCAAATCTTAGTGAATCTAGTATAGCTTAAAAACAATAAATCACTTGTCATCTGAAAAATGCAAGAAAACCTGCTACCCCTATTGCTAAAGGAACCTATATCATCCTTACCAAGGATGTGTCAGAAAGGCATCACCACACACTAGGTGAATTCTGCACAGGCATGAAATGTTCAAGGGTAATTCTTCTCACTCTGGAAGTAGAAAGGTGTGTATATATAAAACAGCAATAACAACAAATCTTTAAGCCATATCTTCTGTCAAGCTTTTCCTGCCTTCATCCAGGTTTTTCTAAAAAGTAGGGGAAGGACAACAAAAACCTGCAAAACTGTGTGGTACCCAATGGGGGACAAACTTCTCCTTCCTTCATTCCTTCTCCAAGCTAAGGATTGATCACTGCTCACATGCTAGCGTACCATCCTTGCCACCTCTCTCTTCTTCTCTACAGGATGTTCTCTTCTCATGTACCATCTATGTAAAAGCATCAGGAAGGGATGAAATGAACGCTATCAACAAAGACATGTTTTCAATGGATCTCTGCATCCCCACATGCCCTCCTACTCCAGTCAGAGGACAGAATGCCCAGTCCTGGCTCCTAGATAATAAACATGTAATGCTTGTTGCCACTAATTCCCTGGCTGATCAAGTTCTCCACCAACTGACAGACTTAGCTAGATACCACACTGTTTCTCACAGCCTTGGCTATCCACCCTCTTTCTTCTCTATGACCTTTAAGGCAGCTCTTCAAAGCTACATGCCTAGGTGAGGAGCTGTGATTTAATTCCCTTAAGTTAATGCATGTTCAAAGGTCAGTGACTCTTCACATTCCTCTACAGACTCATACCAAGTGCTCAAGGCGCTCCCAGCTGACAAGAATTATGTTATACCATGATCTTCACGGTCAGAAACTGGAGGCTACAGGGACGGGGAGTTGAAGCAAAAAGGCTGAGCCATGGGACCAGGGACAGTGGCTGCAAAGGAGAAGGCTTCAGCAAAGGACAAGCATCCTCTGATTCTCATACATGCTGCAACCAAGGGGCTGCAAAAGTCAGGGGCTGGCACAGCGTTTCACAAGAGGAAAAGCACAGCCACCCAATTGACACTGCATGCAGCAGTCTCTTCCACTCCCCTATCAGTGTCAGCGGTCTACAAGGGCTTTTAGTTCTGCCCTTCACATAAGACCAGGTGAATAAGGGGGAATGTGACCAGTTTCCTGTGGTACCAGCAATATTGTCAGAACAAGGAGAAACAGCTGCAGTTCTCCTTGAAGTCAGCCACAACACCCTCTGCCAGGCTCAGTGCTTCTACCCATTTCTCAAAGTGCTTGCAGCTACTGATAAAGAAAGGCCACATCTGTTCTGAACTTGTTTGCCAGGATATTAGTGGGAGGAGTGTTTGGTTTCTCTTCTATATAGCTAACTCTTAGGCCCAGACTATCAAAAGCATTTAAGTGCCTAAAAAGAAGTTAGGAATTAAACTATCGTGAGGCTCTGGGTCCTAATGAGGACGCAGTTATATTGGTATTGAATGTTTTTTGCTGATTTGGCTGACAGTGCTTGGAAAAGTTCTGCTAAAAAAAAGAAAAAAAAAGCACCCTATTCTGCTGACATAAGCTGCGTGCACATAAGGAGGGCTTCTCTGGTACAACTCTGCTGCTACAGCGATATCACACACATTTACATGTAAATTAGGGCTTTGTTTATTATGCTGCACAGATGCAGCCTTTCTCTTCATCTTCCATGGAGAGGGTAATGGTCTCACTAAACTCATTCTATGGATGAAGAAAGCAAGCCACAAAAAATGAAAAATAAAAATCAACTTATTGGCTCAGTGCTGACAGAAAAAGCACAGAACTTAGTCAGTGCCTACAGGAACAGGACTTTCTTCAGTTCTAGAGCTGGGGTGACAAGTGAGCATGACATTAAAAAGGAGCCCACATCACATCAAGTATGCGGGATCAAATGCTGTGTTTGAGGTGGGAGAGCTAACAGTGAATGCTCTAGGGAACCCCAAAACTGAAGAGAGACTGAGGCCTGTTTAGCTGCAGGAAGCACAATCAGCAAGGAAATGAATCTGAAACCTAAGGACAGTTTCTACCACACTGCTTTACCACTCACCAAACTGAGCAGCCATGGGCACAAGTGACAATGAATGTCCGTGGAAGATTACGAAAGCTGAGGCAATACAGATGACTAAAAATGTACCACAGGAACCACATATGAAATCAGAAGCTGTTGAGATTACCACGCTTCCAACTACTGTTTCAGTTATATATACACACTTATTTTACCTCCATTCTGCCAGTAATCCTGCATCTTGACCACAGACTCTGTCAGATCACACTGCTGTTAACAAAAGCTAACACAAGACAAGAATGATGATAAAATAATGAGTTTCACCTCAGCTGTTCATTCCCAAACCTGCCATTCCTGCTCTTTTAACGCAACTCACTGTTTTTTGCTAGGATAGTTTTAACACATATCAACTCTTCTCAGTGGTGAATGCAAGAGTTCCAGAACTACAGCCTTTGTTGGCCTTATAGTGCTTGAGGGAGACTTGAGAGAGGACACATCACCACATAGTTCCACTGTGATGGCATAAGAAAAGATTCAGACTTAAGACTCCAAAAAAAGCGGGTGCTGCCAAGGGCTGGACAAGACAGTGAAGGTGGGTGAATGTTACTGCTGGCCTTACGTCAGCTGTAACCAACAAACAGTTCAGCTCTGCTATGGAGAAACATCATTCTCCACTCTAAAGTACTACACAAATCACTGATCAAATGAAAGGTAAACATCCAGAAGTCTGAACTGGGTGGATGAAGGAACTTTCTGAATACTATTTTGTACTGGAGTCTTGAAAATGGAGGATGAGAAGAAAAAGAGATAAATCACAAAGAAGGCTTCAAACAAGGCTAGGATGACCTTGGCAGTTCAGCCCCAATTGAAACTTGCAGAAAAACAAATCTTTGGTACACTTAGTTACCTACTTCTTTCTTAACTGAAGGATTAAAGCTGTATATAAAAGGAATAATAAATGTAGGTGGTTAAGTAGGTGGTTAAAGTCATTAATCCCCTCTAATAAACTGGATTCCCTCCCATGCCTAGTTTTGCTGGTCAGCACCCTGATCCTACACACAACATCTACCCCATCCTACATCAGTTTTATTATGGCTCATCAGACCCATATTCATACACATATTTCAGTACCTACATCCTCTCAGGCCTCTTGCATCTCCAATCACAAATCTCCCATCCTGACATCCTTCCCATTTCACTGAAACCCTGGCCAATTTCTCCAGGCAAACATACAAATTCTGATCCAAACCAGCATGTAGAGATTAGTGAAAAGGTGAAACAAAAGCTGTGGTGGTTCTGGAACTGTGGCATTCACCACAGAAGGCCTTAGGGAGAGAGACAGTCTTTCCAGAAGCAGAAACAGAACTTTCAGCTTAGCTAAATTTAAACTAACTAACTACATTATTAAAAAAAAAAAAAAAAAAAAAAAAAAAAGCTGTACCTATCTCCACCTATCTCCACTTGCCTGCCTCCAGCAGAAGGAAGCAATCCATTGTGAGCATTCAACATTTACCTAAGCTGAGGACAGAAGAATTGTCACTCATACACCAGACCAGCCAATCTCCCAGACAAGCATCATTCCCTCTTAAGGGCTACTCCAAGGTCTCTCCAGCTTTCCATGAAATTTAGCTATTGTCTTGACAGTTTCTCCTGGGACACTATTACTGTTCTGTGTTTTCTTAAACTGCTATTTAATTAGCAGTGAGATCCCCAAAGAGCTTTCCACACTCCTCCTGATTCTTCCCCTAAACTTCAGGCACATGTTCTGCCATTCAGACTCGAGCTAAAATTCAGTGTCTCCCTGGAGTTATTTCCTTACACAGTCCCTGAAGGTTCGGTGCTAAGTTACTGAAACTGTAAAAGAAAAACAAGAAACAAATCCAAAATGTACCTCAGAACTCTACAGAGGTCTGCCCAAACTCTAGCCTTTTCAATTACACCTTCAGCAGTGAGTTCACATTTAGTTCAGCTTGCACCCGGAGACTGAAGATGAAGGAGAGACACTTGGAGACTGTGGACTGTTCCTTTCCAGAGCAACCCACCTGCTACTGACTGCCTTGAATGCAAGCGCTGAATCACTACTTATTCTGTCTGAATTGCAAATGTGAAAGCCAAAGATTTAGGCTCATTTCTGACTATAGCCACCTTGAGATATTTGATTCCCCACAGAGCTGACTTTATTCACATAAATAGTTTTGTCTCAGCTGTCAATTCTCTCCTTTGTCAAAAGAAATTATAGCCCACAGACATAAGTTCTGATAATCTCTAATCATTGTAGAAAGAAGGCCCAAGTTCTGTTTGGGACACCAAAACACAAAAATGTTTCTGCTACCTAAAAATGTCCCACTGGTTACCCAACTGCTCCTTCCTAAGTCTGTTTTCTGCTGTGTCCAAAGTTCACAGCTCTGCCCTGTGATCCCCAAACCTACAGATGATTAGCAACTGTGTGCACTGACTCATGCCAGTGATGTAAGCTCTCCGTCGATATGAGCTTGGAGTGCAGCAATCCCTGACTAACTTGTTACTTATGGTGTACTCTTCCATTTGACTCATTTCATTTTTCTTATACAGTTTCTTGCTTCATACAGAAGCTCAGTAAGACTATTTGCTTTGCCAGCTCACAGGAAAAGAATCATAGAATCATTAAGGTTGGAAAAGACAACCAAGATCATTTAATCCAACCATCAACCCATCACCATCATGCTCACTAAACTATGCCACTAAGTGTCATATCTACACTTCCCTTGAAAACCTCCAGTGACAGTGACTCCACTGTCTTGGCAGCCTGTTTCAAAACCTCAACACTCTTTCTGAGAATAAATTTTTTTCTAATATTCAACTTCAACCTCCACTGTTGCAACTTAAGGCCATTAGCCCTCATCCTATCCCTGTTACCTGGGAGAAAAGACCAGCCCCCGCCTCACCACACCCTCCTGTCAGGGAGTTACAGAGAGCAATAAGGTCTCCCCTGCACCTCCTCTTCTCCAGACTAAACAATCACAATTCCTTCAGCCATTCCTCTTAAGGTCTGTGCTCCAGACCCCTCACCACTTTTGTTGCCTTTCTCTGGACACTCCAGGTCCTCAATGTTTTTCTTGTAGCAAGGGGCCCAAAACTGAACATGGTACTTGAGGTGTGACCTCACCAGTGCCGTGTACAGAGAGATGATAATCTCCCTAGTCCTGCTGACTGCACTATTTCTGATACAAGCCAGGATGCCATTGGCCTTCTTGGCCACTTGGGCACACTCCTGGCTCACGTTCAGCCAGTTGTCAAGTAACACCCTCAGATCCTTTTTCTCCATTCAGATTTCCAGCCACTCTGCCTCAAGCCTGTAGAAACACATGGGGTTGTTGTGACCAAAGTGCCACTTGGTCTTGTTGAAAGCTCACAAACTGGATCCAGTCCATCAATCCAGCCTATCCAGACCCCTCTGTAGGGCCTTCCTACTTTCAGGCAGATCAACAATACCTCCCAACTTGGTGTCATCTGCGAACTTACTGAGGGTGCACTCAATCCCTTCATCCAAATTATCAATCAAGATATTAGACAGAGCCAGCCTCATTACTGACCCTCATGGAACACTACTCATGATCGTTTGCCAGTGGATTTAACTCCATTCACCACCACTCTCTTGAAAAAGCTCTCCAGCCAGTTTTTACTCAGCTAAGAATATAGCTATTTATAAGCCATAGGCTGCCAGCTTATCCAGGAGAATGCTGTGGGAGACAGAGCCAAAGGCTTTACTAAAGACCAGACAAACTATATCTATAGCCTTTCCCTCATTCACTAGGCAGGTTGCCTGGTCACATAAGGAGTTCAGGTTGGTCAAGCAGGACCTGCCTTTCATGTACTCATACTGGCCAGGCCTGATCCCTGGTTGTCCTGAACATGCCAAGTAATTGCACTCAAGACAATCAGCCCCAAGACCTCCCCCAACACCAAGGTCAGGCTGACAGTTCCCCTGTAGTTCCCCAGATCCTTCTGACCCTCCTTATAGATGGGCATCGCATTGGCAAGTCTCCAGTCGTTTGAGACATCCACAGTTGACCAGAGCTGCTGATAAATGATGGAAAGTAGCTTAGCAATCACTTCCACTACCTCCGTCAGTACCCTTAGGTGGATCCCATCTGATCCCATGGACTTCTGACAGTCTACATGGAGTGGTGAGTTGCTAACCGTTTCCTCCTAAATTGTGGAGGCGTTATTCTCTTCCTCATCACCGTCTTCCAGCTCAGGGGGCTGAGTACTCTCAGGATGGTAAACATTTTTTTTCCTGGAGTCTCAGCAGAGGCTCCCTGTTCAAGCAGGCTGGTCTTCTCCTGTTGGGACCTAAAAGGAAGTTCAGAACTTGAATTTGTTCTGAGTTTATTTAGATGATGATATGTGCAGCTATGTAGTCCAGAGACACAAGCTGCAACCACCCATGTACACAGGTACCTCATGTGTCACACTAAGCCTGATCACAGCTATCTGACTCCATGGCACAAACCAGTCAGTACAATTCAATCATTTCTGTTCAGACGGAGAGGAGCCAGAAAGAAAATACCAACAGCCAACCATGACAACAGGGGAAAAATCCTTCAAAAAAATGATATAAGTATGAGGATCCCTAGTGCACCTCTCTCACTTACTCACTCGTTTCCTTTTTTTTTCATTCATTATCTTCTTTACATTTCCTCAGAAGTAATTTCAGCTCTACAAAAGCTCTCTGCTCCTTCTCCAGAAAAAGCTCAGCAGCAAGAGCAGTCCACGTGCTCCACCAACAGCACTAACTGCACATGCGATGAAGCAAGTCCACTTGCCACAAACAGCCAAACGCTGAGCACAGGTGATCGCTGTTTTGATCACTAGAATCCTCCTAGCAGCACCAGCTTCACGGTCCTGTCTTGTAACATGAGAGAGGGGACATGGCCCATCCCATCCTAGCTGACAGCTTTGTCTCTGCTTACTGAAACCAGGTGAAGAAAGAATGTTTCTCAGACAAGTCTGTACCCGCTCCAGTGGCAGTCAAGATATGGGAGCAGCCACAGCCCGTAAGAATAGGAATATGGCCTCACACAGACCTAACCCTTCGTGGCCTCACACCCAGCCTGGACTTGTAATCCTTGTGCCTGTATTTGTATCCTCATTATGAAAACCTCTCGTGTCCATAAATGACTCAGAAATATGAAGCATGTTGGACATGTTGCTCCGCCCATAAAAGGGTTGAAAGAAGCTGTAAAGCTCTCTCAAGCCTTCCTCGTGAAAGAAAAATGACTTCCACAAAAACTAATTAACTTTTGCTAAGGACCCTACATTCATATCTAGCTTGCAATGAGATTCGTGACAGAGGCCCCAGGATGCAACTATAACACAGGAGAAACAAAGAACAAAACCCACTGTCAATAGTAGCAAATTAGAGAGAAGAGGATGAGACTATTCACTCAACTCCATCTGCCCGCTAACTTTGCATTGTGCTGAGATTTACTCTGGTTGTTTCAAATTACATTATAGTAAATACCACGGCCCTTCCCTCTCAATTACTCAGGAGAAATCAAAGGTCAAACTCTTCTACATTTTCAGTGTGTACTTATGCACTTTAGTTTTATTGCCCTCCTCCTACCAGCTGTTTGGTGGTGTGGTTTTCCTTTTGTGCGAGTTTGTTTTTGTCGGTGGTGCCAGCAAAATCTGGGAATAAAACTTGCCAACCCAAATGACAGGTTAGGAAGCCAACATTAATTCACTGCAGGACTGGGTGCATGGGCAAGCATTCCAACTCAGCGTGCATACCTGTGATCCAAAGCACAGAGATTGTATACATTTTAACATGGGAATGTTCATACAATTTCTATGAAGCGCCTGCCTATTTCTGGAATCACTGTACATATCAGAATGTGGTACTACACGTGTACTGTATTAATTTAGGATATTTAGGATTCGAGTAGGATGTCTTTGGTGACGAAAGGTTGCATGTTACATGAACCAGGTCCCATGTACCTTCAGAAACCTATTTACAAAAATATGGCTGTTGACTAGTTTTCAACTGGTGCTTTGATCTTGTTATGGTGCTTATTATCAACCCCAGCAGGGGAGTTTAACTCTTCCACCGAGTTGGTGGAGTGTTGAGTCTCTGCTTCTTAGGCTGCAGATGTCCTCCTTATTATCTAGGAACAAAAACTTTCCCAAGAGAACAGTTCTGCTGAGGTGTTTGAATTACTTGCTGAAAGCTCTCAATTTATTGACAGTGAAAGCCCAAAATTTATTAATAGATATCAGAGGTGTTTTTTTTTTTTGCTTGTTTTGAGGGGAGCTATGACAGTAAACAAAATCTCCCAACCTGCAACTCAGCAACCACCTCT